AGAAATCATCATTTTTTCGAATGATGTATCATATTAACTTAACAAATGCTATGTATGTTTTGTGTATTCAGAATTTAAGGTTCGTCAGCGTATGAAATTATGAAGCTTATGGGACAACCGGCGACTAATTACCAGACGACTACGGTTTTACAAATGACTGCTCTACCTGCTAAAAACTTACAGATTTCTTAAAGCCTTGAGACCTTGAAACGTGTGCTGATTTACGCTGCTAATTCTATTTTGACTCAGATTCCTTTAAAAAAAATACAACAACAACATGAATAATGACTTCCCATCATGTCATCATGTAACTCTTAAATGTAAATACTCCGTGATCACTCATTTAGTTTTTACTTGTACTTCGTTAGGAAATAACGCAATTGTGATTATAATGAATACAAGAACTTTTCAAACTTTTTTACTTACAAATAACGRAGTTCTGAAAGAAAACGAAACATTCCATTTGGTAACGAAAGTAATTTGTTTTCTTGAAGATACCTACAAAAAACAATTCTTAGCTGTTAGAGCTATAAGATATTTTTTAACTTACATTAATTTGTACTGCAACTTGTTAACTACAGCATCAAATCATGGTATCTTTAAAAAAATACCGAGTACCAGGTTGCAAAAGCACAATGAGTCGAAAACAAAAACACTTACAAGTGAGTTAAGTTGATTGTCTGCTCAAAGACATCTCCAGGCAGGGTTCTTATTCGGTTAGAGCGAAGGCTTCTATTATGAAAGAAATGTAACAAAATGCAAAATTATCAATTGTATGAAAACTATATAAACCTACCTAATCCACTTTGTGACTCAGTTTCCCAATCATTTCATCAGAAATTTTCATACTTACAGCACTCTTAAATTTATCAAACCGGTAAATGTGTTCTCTGATAATCCCGTCAGTAGATTTTCCCCAAGATCGCTGTAACAAAAATTAGTARTTTGTTAAGTATGCATGTGTATGACATCTTTAAATTTCTAAATATGAAARATAATAGYATTTCAAACTTACAGCATCTTAAGACGTCCTARTGCACGAAAAGCAGATCGAGGTAAAGACTTTATAAAGTTATTGTTTAKGCGTCTGAAAAACAAAAATCAACAAAGACACACATAATAAGTTCGTAAATCAAATGGATATAGTTGCACTAAACAATAACGCAGGTAGATATATTGAATTGAAAACAATAATTATATGCCCGCGTATACTGGAGCCTGCATGCGAGTAAATTGCGTGATTTGATTGGTTGATCTCGATTTATCTCCGGTTTAGATTCTCTAAGGTAGACTGCACGCGCTTCTTGACTCGCGATTTTTCGAATTTTTTTTAAAATTACTACTTATAACTTACTACGTAAAAACATACCAAAATTCAATTAACTGGCGCTACTTCTATGGTCCAAAATCATTGAAAAGACGAATTATATTATTCAGACATGGTTAATAAAAAGTAAAAGATTTATATYATCCATGCTACTTACATGTTCTCTAATGACGACCCATTAAAAAATGCGTGTTCCTCGATATCGTAAATGTGATTCCACGAAAGGTCACTAATAATAAATCAGCACGCATCAGTAACCATTTTATAAAAATAATAAAAATGGGTTATAAGAATCCATGTTATTTATTCTTTTTTTACATCATGCTGGGATAACATGTAATTAAGGTTTATCATTATTCCTGGAATGTATTATTGCAAAAAGAAACTTATCTTGTACATACAGGTAAACTAGGCTGKGAAGTCGACTAAAAGCTTTTCCTTTGATCCTTGTTATCTTTTTATCTTGAAACATCCTATTTGTAATAAACAAATCTATCACATTACAGATTAAATTGAGCTTCCAAAGTGCCTCCTAAATATGTCAAAATATGAGAGAGTACATCACAAAAGTGACACAGTGTAATTATACATGTGTATTGTGACTTTCCGTTTGAAAGCCGAAAAGGATATAGCCCTACATGATATTCGTTGGTGAACGTCAATCTCGCTCCCAGTCTCTTRGAATAATTAAAACGATGTCCGTGGGTCCAGGTATTTTACCATAACGATTTCTTTTTTTTTGAAGAAGTCCTTAACGTTTTGCTTACAATTATATGAATACGAGTTTGAAATAAGTGATCAGGTGCACTTTAAGCCGCTATCCAACGTGTTTATCTATTTGTTCATATGTAGATGTTTTTTTGATACTTACAGAGCAGCAGTCCGTTGTGGCATTTTTACGGGAATATCATTCAGCCAAGACCGAGCTTCAACAACAACTTTATTASCGTACGATATGTTTCCTATTGTTGAAAGACCAGTGCATGTGCAGCTTGACGGACAGTCTATGAACGAAATGGTGAAGAAAATTTCTTTAAATTGTTCGCAATTAAAGGTTCCCTGGACCTGTGCACATAGTGATTCAGCAAACTTCATAGACTTCAATATTTGGTTGTGTAAATAGTCTATATCGCAACCCGCGGAAAGCCTTGCGACGCAATGCATTTTGGGATTGATAAATGAGTAAACAAGGGAATTTCAGTGCTCCAGTTGTCTGTAACGGAGACTCAGTTTTCGAAAAATATTGGGAAATATTGACAGAAGAATCTCAGAAGCGAAAAAATAAACAAATATGGACATGCAAGGAAATACATCAAGAAAAACCTCCAAAAAATGTACAGTTAATCGAAAATTTCCATATACTAGGCAAATCAAGAAAAAATGAAAACATGTTGTCGGTTGAAAAATCGAAATTAATTAGTGTTTTTACGATTTTAGCGGTTTGTTTTGATGAAGAAAGGGAGATATGTATCCCATGATACATTGCAAACTGATTCAAAATGGCGGGCTTGTGATATGGACTATGGTCACGGAACGTATATTGTCGATCGGCCCGCTCGTTATTCAGCGAAATATTCAACTCGACGGTTTACAGTGCTTTGCTTTAAAATTGATTTTACCTTTGATAATCATAGAAGGGTCTTTATGCGCATGATAACCTAACAAATGAAAAACGTATATATAATGTGTGCATGAATTCACGACTATCAATCAATGTGATCATCATGTCTTTCGCTGTTATTTAAAACCAATTATTTTTTCCCAGGATAATGAAACAAAAAGAGACCTGCATGTTCAGGAGCGGATCCAGAAATTTTCCAGAGRGGGGATTTACTGATCCAAATTTATTTTACAAACATTAACAAATCAATCGAGACTCCCCATATTGTGACGGGTGTGTCATAAAAATACAATAATAACGTGCTAAAAAACATATATATTTTTCATTGATGAAAATGTTCTGTTTTATTATGAATTTCTTCATTATCGTCTTTGAAGAAATTAGAAATAAGAAATCTAGAGCACCGGACATTTAGTTAGAAAAAAGAGGTAGGGAATTTACCATTTTCCGCTCCCCTGAATCCCTGAATCCACCCCTGYAGTTTCCTCTGGGCAATGGAATATTATTTAAAAAAAGCATAACACCTTTTATGAATTCCATTTGTTAATTACAATTAATCCTTTTAGAAAATAAAAATAGAAAATATAGAAAAATGTTTTTAAGAGAGGCATACCTTCCAAGAATTCATAATGACCCTTAAATCCTCTTATCGGTGCAGAGTTTCTCGGAGCATGAAAATGAAGAGTCATCGTATTGGAAGCAGACGACTGCACGAACTGTGGGTATATGTAGCCACAAAATCTCCCAAGAGAAGTACCAAATACTCGATCTCCATCATTAATTTCCAAATATGCGTAATTGCACCCTTTGGTATATGGAATTAGAAACTCCAGGAACGTGAACCGAATCACGTGATGATCTGGTGCATCTATAACCCACCAACAGTTCATGTCATACATGCTACTATGTGGATAGTATAGTTGCTCTATGATACCAGGAGCTGTCATGATGTTCCGTCTGCAAACTATAAGAAAAACATTAGCTATAGTCGTTTTTTGGAAAATATTGCAATAGTTTTTGCTTTTGCTGTCATCAGAACGTTCTTGAGCTCCTTTGTTTATGGTCGTAGTATGTATTTCATATAATCTTAAACAATCGGCWAGACTTGTTCACAAAACGGACACTGATGAATCCCACTGAAATGTGTGATATCCTTGATATGTGATGAAATGATGTTAAAAAGACTCACCTGGARTTAACAAGGAATAATCACTTGAACAAAATCTATTTTCAACGAAAACTTGACTTATTGCGATATAGCTTTCATTGGATTTCGCTGAACCTTCGAATTTGACCTTCATTTTATGATAAAAAAAATAGTTAATAAAAAATTTTTAGGTCTCTAAAGTCGAGTCTCCATTCTATTTCTACCTGGAAATAACCCGGCGATAAAAACGGTATATCTGCATATTTCCATCTAAACTGAGTATTGYYAAYATCCTTCCAAACGACAGAAGAGACATCTTCATGTTCTTTTAGAATAGAGGTTTGGAAAAAACGTGCCCCAGGACCATATATCATGTAACGAAACTTTAAACAAAAGCCAATGGCATTGGATGGTGCATGTTGATCGACTTTAACTGTTATAAAGTTAGCAGAGCTATTCAAAACCAATCTTTCCTCTGTGATTCAAAATTGAACATTGGTTAGTAAAATTATATAATTATTACCCGGGGATGGGGATTACTACCGCTCCAAATTGGGCAGGGGTTTGCCCCAAGGACCTCAAAACCCTGATCCTATGTCAGACCTAAAACTTCGATTTTCCATTATCTACCCCAGACTAAACCTAARAATCGGACACTCTGTTTTGCTAATTTTTAAACGGCATTTACRTTCTTTCTAAGCTGATCAAAAGTAGGATTATCCAGACTAAAATGCCGAACAAAACCTACCCCTATTCAAACGGAACAGCCAAATTGTAACCCTATCCCAGGCAAAACCCAGACACCATCCCAGACAAAATGTCAAAAAGAGATACCCAAACCCAGACCTTAATGACAAAACAACCATACCCTATATAACGTGGCACATACCCTCCCGGAAAATCATTAACAGGGTCTTGTAACTATATTCACCTCGATATAGTGTGTCTGGTACTTTGCTCTTAGAGTACATTATACGTTTTTGATTAAACGAGAGACGAAAGACTTACTTCGAACATCTTTGCAGGTTTTCGGTTTGACTATTTCGTGATGAACATGGTGAATATAATTGATGAACTCTTTCCAATAGATGAGATCACCTTTCTCGCTATCACAACCATAAGATAAGCGTTTTATYTCGTCTGRACTCAACTCCCCGCTCCAAATATTAAAAGACGACAACACCGCTTTATCATTCACCGAWGAATTTAAATAGCCAATGATCAAGAGCTTGTAATTGAATCCTAAAAAATATGTGGATTGACATTGGAACTTTTTTTGACTATTAGATTTTAACATATCACGAGTTTAGAATTCAGCTCTTTCTGATTCTAATTAATCCACACTCTATTTTATTTACCATTTGTAGCATCATCTGACTTAATTAAAAGTAGACCTTTTCTTTCTCCATTCAGGTAAAAGGACACGTCCAGCTTTTCTTCTTTCTCACGCATTAAGAAGCAGTAGAAATTCCAGGCAGTGGAGTTATGTACAAAACCAAAACTGAAAGTTGAAAAGTAACGACAAAAAAGGAATTTATAATTTCATATTACTGTAATGCAGTTTAGCATCTTCGACTCTGAAATCCTATTAAGTAGTCATGTTTATTCAAAAATTGTTCAGTGACTTTACTTACGATTTGGGCGATTGAAGATCCACGATAATCTCTTGAGATATGTTAAGCCATAAATAGGGCCAGGAGCGTTTATATCTGACATAGATGCCACCACCCTTCTTCCAAAGGCATAGAGTAAAACTTTCRATTTCATTACTGGGCTTATGAATTCCTACCTCTTCTTTTGAAGACGGGGAAAGATGCAGCTCGAAGTCTTCATCCACTGCGGATAAAGAAYGATTGATATTAAGATAATATCTGKAAACTGACTGGTACATCTGAAGATTTCGCCATTTATCATCATCGGCAAATTGACACTCATTATTACTTCAGTGAATGCAATTGACTGAGCAACCAGTACAAATAGGTGGTCTCGACATGATATTGTAACCAAATTAAGTATTTGTTCCTCAAATCATGGACTAAACCTATYACCTAACGCTTCAGTCAGTTATCGTCAAAACGTCTATTCCYAATGAGCAAGTTGTTAATCACAACATCGTAGTTATGTCYTAGGAAGACTATCAATGGGAAACATTTACCTCAAGACAYCGWATACATCCTAAAATCTGGCCTCTTGCAGCAAAAACGAATTATTCATTAATATAGAGACTAGARAAGTTGTTCTATTTTCATACCTGATTTTGTTTAGGTACTTGTGTCTTTTTTATAAATGCTAAACATTTCTCAACTATATCTATGTTTAGTTTCCAATTCACTTGGTTTTCTTTGTTATTCATAGGGTTGTATATACCATAGAAACTTAAAGCCGGGGAGGGATTTGATAATCAGCAGGGAAATGTGGGGTNTATTTTGAGCTATACACAAATCGTCGTCACTGTTCGACATCGTTTCCAGAATGACTGTTAAGAATATTTGATAACAATATTCAAAATTGGATAGCTCGCTTTCGCATGAACAGGTTTTCTTAAAGGAAACTAATTTCAACAGTCCATGAAAAGGTCTCGAGAGGATTCTATTGTTCGAATCCCAACTAAGAAAACATTCATTTAGTCTATTCAGTCTTTGCGAAAACCACGTGAATTGAAAACTAAGTTTGTTAGTTACCTCGCACGTCGGCATTACGCTATATACAGCCCTCGGGCCTGCGGCCCTCGGGCTGTATATAGCGTAATACCTCCGTTCTCGGTAACTAACTCGTACATATTTCTTTTTTTTGCGATCACTATATCCACCTGTTTTATACCTTTCCAACAGCAAATCAATTTTGTAAGATTGTTAATTGACTTCTAAACAATTTATTGGATAGATCTCTTGCCACAATGGAACTRATCAAATAAAGTCTTACGTGACCAGCCTCGTTTACCAGACGTGAATAATACGATCGATKCTGTGSAGTGTTAGCCGAGTTTTGATATACTRMAATAGTCCCTACTTCATGAAATATTSACTACAAAAATCMATGCATGTGATTTCAATGACTGTTACCATCTTGGGTGTCCCGTTTCATTTTCAGTCGATCAGAGAGGTAATCTCCACTTTGCATTGTCTTTACCCATGAGCTTTGGGAACTATTACTTCTCCAATAGCACGATGTATCAAACCAAAGACAAAGGCTACCTACAAATTAATGATCAATTCTAGCAGGAGACAGACCATCACATTTTAAAACATCCTGTTTAGGTTCATTCTTCTCACCAGAGATTTTTCCCACTGTACTAATGCGCGACATAGTCACTAGGGACAAGATTGSCCTAGGTTAAGATTAGTGAGGCTTTCCATGCGAATGACTCGACTCTCGCTAATCCCAAGTATATATCCTACAAATCCGAGAGTGTCAAACTGATGTAAAGTCGAATATGAAACTTTTTCAGTGTTTTACTAAATATGTATGCTTGTGAAAGAAACATGGAAAGATAGCTTTTGTTGAAGATGATGGCATAATGTTAAACAAATTTTGTATGTAAAATAATTATTTAGCACTTACTTGTTCGGAAACAGCGCTCTTTGAAACTGATGATTTGGTTATGGGATAAAGCTTTAGGATACACCTGCATACAAGATATACTTCCCTTGAAGTACCGATTATCGCCCAGCCTTGCACCCATTCTGACATTGTGATTGGTAGCTARTTGAAACCCTTTTCCAATATATTTTTCGACAACAAATCTATCACTGATAAACAGCTTTGCTATTCCTGTTTGGGCATTGTACGTCGCTCCAACGTATTGCCATACACCGGCTTTTACTCCATTGTTGGAAATGCTAGAAACTTTAACATTTCCACGTTTATTAAATTGAGCGAACAACTTATTTTTTCCTGTCATCCAGAAATGAACTCCCCAGCCATTTGTGTCGTAGTTAAAGATAGGYCCTTGATTTCCAGTGTGTTTTATCCAAGCTAGAAGCGACAAAGAGTTTTTGGCTTCCAGCCGCTCTTCGTCGTTATCAAACTCTACATAACTTTCCGGGGTTCCAATGAATCGGTATGCACCACCGGGMGTTCCATCGGGGCCTTCGTCCGGAAATATATTTGCAAATTCACCATCTGGGTTTCGATTTAGGACATCTTTTCCTTGCAGAAGAGTATTTAGTGGATATACTGCA